GTGCAGCGCGGAGCTGCCCGAGTACATCTGCGCGTTCACGTTGGCGCCGTGCGGCGGCAGCAGCTACACACGCTCAGGCTGTACTTTTCCACGGCGTGGATGAGTGGGGAGCGGCCGCTCTTAATGCCCACCGCGTCGATGTCCGCGCCACGCTCCAGCAAGAGCAGCACCGCTTCGTGGCACTCGGTGTTCACGGCCACGTGCAGGGCAGTGAGCCCTAAAGGAGAGGGAGGTTCGGTCAAGCACGGGCCTGGGACTTTGCAGCCCCAGAAGGACCCCAGGACCCGCCAGACAGCCCCACCCTGCGCCCGAGCCCGTACTCACCGTCATAATTGCGGGCCTCCAGGTCCACTGTGCCCGGGGCGGCGCTGTCCAGCAGGGCTCGCAGGCAGGTCGGGCTGCGGTGCTCACATGCCAAGTGGGCTGCTGTCTGGCCATGGCGGTCCAGGGCCATGGGGCTGGCACCGGCCATCACCAGTAGCCGGACCACAGACGGCAAAGTGGTGATCACAGCCAGGTGTAGCGGGGTCTGGGGAACAGAATCTGTGAGGGATCCCTATGTGCCCTGCCCTGGTCCTAGTCTTGCTTCCCTCAGAATTTCCTAGTCCTCACCCCCAGCTGCAGTCTTCCTCCGGAGCCACAAATCTGGAGCCCCTCCTCCCTCAGACCCATGAATCCAGACCCCCAGCCTCACCTGCCTGAGGTTGTTGTAGATGTCCAGCTCCCGGCCCCCATGCTGGAAGAGGCTGACGAGTCGATGCACAGCTGGCAGATTGCCCTGCACCACGGCAATGTGGAGTGGCCTGGGGGTGAGGGTCACAGACATTAGGGGCCGGTCACCTCTCACCCCCATGCTCTTAGCAGCGCTTTCTCCAATATGTGCCCGTACTTTGGAAATATCTCCAGAATCCAGTCACTCCTCCCACCCCCACTCCCTTCATCCTGACTCAGCCCCCATCATCCTGGACGTCTCCTCCTCACTGGCTTCACTGCTTCCACCATGGCCGACTGTCTGTCCCCCACATAGCAGCCAGAGGGGCCCTGATAGACTCCACGTCAAGGCATGCGCCCCCCGCCCCGCCCCTTCGGCTCAGAACCCTCAGAGTCAAGGCCAGCTG